CCACGGCTTGAGTCAGTGCAGCTTCGTCCTCAGAGTAACACCCTTGGTCTTCAATACTCTAAAGAGGTCTTGTGCAGCAGATTCACCTAATGTCTTTTGAGGCAGACGTTCATGGAATACAACCCTGACGCACACCTTTCCTGATTTTAAGCCATGCCGTATTCCTTTGTTCTGTTCACACAACTGTCTCTTGATCCAAGTCCCGAATGAGCGCACCGAAGGGCTGTGGAATACGCATTCTCCTCAAGGTTATCCAGAGGGACCCTTGGGAACCAAACACCACATCACTCTTCTGTTCACAACTCCTAGATGGCATCTTGTGTCCCTCAGAGTTAAAGCCCAAGTCCTGACAGCAACCCACAGGTTTCCATCACTGGGTATCCTCTCACTCCCGGGACATCCCTTACGGGAGTCACACTGTCGGCCTCCTGACTGCTCTGCAAACACACCAGGCACGCGCCTGTCTTCGAGCCTTTGCTCTCGCCGCCCCCTCTGTCCAACGGGGCACACCTTCGCCTCCTCCAACTTGAGTCAAGTGGCATCATCTCCATGAAACCCCCTCTCTGACACCTTGCTATTTAAAACTGCATCCTGCAGGCCTGCCTCACATTCTCTAGCCTTACCAGCATGGGTGAGGAGCAATTGTGAGGATGGCGCAGGCCCGTGCAGTGTTCCTTTCTGTGATGCACAGGGTGGCTATGGGTGGGAACCAACTCACCACCTAGAACCTACGATACGTTTACCCAATCCAGTCAGCGGTGTGGATGCAGCCCGACAGAGACACCCATTTAACTGTTAAGTCCACTCAGTCAAATTTAACATGACATGTGGAAAGTAAGCCCATGGCCTTGCCTCTCACATCTGCCCTGTGGGTCACCATTCTTGACCTCGGGATCATCCCCCCACGGCCCCAGAATACAAGGACTACCTGCTCTTTCTTGCAAGCTCTCTTCAGGGTTGGAAGGACCACTCACCCGGCTTAACGGAGCAAAACACCCCCTCCCCCCAGCATCCCTCACACCCACCTATCGATAAGTCCTACCAATCGGATCCCTGCCGCTCCAATGTTGCAGGGTCACCCCTCTGTTCCGATCTGTCCTTCCTTAGTTCCCAAGTTTTGCAACAACATCCTCACGGGTATCCCCCACCCCCCCACCCCCCAATCCAACCCTCTGAATCCACTCATCACGAGGTAAAACTGAAATGGAGTTAGGGACAAACACGTTATGTCAGACGGACAGACAAAAGCAGGCGGTTCTTGATGCTATGCTTCTTAAAGCAACTCCATCCGGCTCCCCCTTCCACCCAAAGGATAAAGAACAAAGTCTTTACTGAGATGCCCTCCATCATCTGGCCTCAACTCCCTCGCTGACACACCCCTCCACCCCTTGTATAACGCGCTCGGCCCTCCCAGGTCCTCAAAACCAAACCGAACTCACTGCCATCGAGGGATGGACCCATAGTGGCCCTAAAGGGCAGGGGAGAACTACCTTGTTTCTGACAGCTATAACTCTTTGCAGGGGCAAAGTCCCGTCTTTCGCCCCCAGAGCAGCTGGTGGTTTCGAACTGCCAACGTCATGGATCACAGCTCAACGTGGAATCACGACACTACCGTCCCACCAGATGTTATCACCTAAGAAATCTGGCCAGAGCTCCCCTGGATTATTCCCTGCATGGTGGCGCGGTGGGTTAAGCATCGGCCAGAAGGTCGGCGTTTTCAGCCTGCCAGACGCTCCGTGGAAACAGAGGATTTCTCCCAAGTTGTCTCCCCCAAATATATGCGAGACTTAGCTGCTTGAGAATGACTGTACACTTGGAGGTCATCAGGAATAGATTGGGGGTCATTCTGAGTTATCAGCTGTCTAGATCAAGCAGACACCACTGTTTATCCCACAAGTAGGGCCCACTCCCTTCTGATAAAGATAGTAGTTGTCTGTTTCCTTGTAGGAGACACCAGAGAGGTCAAACCCACCCAAGGATGACCAAGGTTAGGCTGCCATCATGAATCTAGGGTCTGCCCATCTTGTCACATGTATACCCCTAGACCTTCCCATTCCTATGGGCACACCCCTAGCTCATCCCTTCCTGTTACACTTATGCCCATCATACATCCCCTCCCTACAATGTGTATGCTTATTGTACTGCCCCTTCCTGTGACGTGTGATTCTGTATAATCATGTCCCCCTAAAGGGAGATAATGCTTGGTTAGCAATAAAGAAGAGGCTCTCTCCGGCTCCCCCGGGGTTCTCCATCCCAGAGGCTGCTCCTGCTCTCGTGGCCGGGTTCCCCCTACCCCCAACCACCCCGCGAGGACCAACAAGCGGGGCTGAGGTGAGCAATGCTACCATGAATTGTGTCTGACTCCGTTTATTCCGATCTCTCCTCTAACTCTCATGCTCTCTATGACTTTACTATAATCCTTACTTATTATCGCTGTCCAATGGCGCCTACCGGACCTGTGATGATTTGCGGGGACCCCCCTCTCTCCTTTAAACCCCACAAACGACGAGGCTGTCTCCCGTGAGAGACCGCCCGCCCCATGAACCCCCAAAGGCAGTTCTACTCGGTCCTACCAGGTCGCTGTGCGTCGGGGAATCGACTCGACGGCAGCGGGCTTCGGTTTATGCTCCCGCTACCACCTCCTCCGACCCCCACGTCATCGGCCAAGGGGCCGGTCGCCCGGCCCAGGGGCAGTCCACAGAAGGACGCCTTCTCACAGAATACGGGCGGCCCCGTGCGCCGCCTCTGCCCCGGTCTGAGCTCCTGCTTCCAGCCCCTCCGGCTCCCAGCCCCCTCGGACCTGGCCCCCGGCCGCCTCAGCCTCCGCCGACCCGGGCTTCCGCCGACCCTGGAGGCCACCCGCTTTTGCACTCACTTGTCCTCGTTGTCGGACATCACGCCCGCGCAGCGGAGCCCCGGCTCCGCACCTCCCAAGTGCGCGGACGCTCCCGAACTGCGCGCCTCCGGCTCGCGCGGCGCCACGCGGAGACTGCGCCTGCGCCGTGACCCAGCGGAAAACCACTTCCGGGGGGACGGAGCGGAAGTGCGGGGGTGCGCGTGCGCCGACTGGCGTGCTCGTGTTTCCATGGTAGCCGGAGCAGCCACCCAGCTGCCGGCTTTAGTCCCGGAGATCGGGACTGTCCGGACGAGGGGCTGCTCTCAAGTTGTGGTTTCTGCCTCCGCCGCTCGCCCGCCGCTCTCCGCGCGGAACGGGCGCCCAGACGGGTCTTAACTTTGGGATGAGGCTTCAGCTGCGCCAGCTGACCCCGTGGGTACCGTCGTGACCCCAGCGATGTCAACGCTCCAGTTCTCCTGACAAGACGCCCGATACCGAGTGTGGACAGTCAGCCTGGTGCGTCAGGGTCGGGAGATCGGGCACCGTCACCCACTGTCTCCTGCGGCCGCGAGCCGCGACCCTCGCTCACGGGTGGGATTAGGGCTGAGGGGCCAAAAATTGGGACTGGGAGACGGGGTGTTTTATTGCTTCTTCCCCTCCTCAGGGCCCTCCCATGGCTTCCCAGAAGAGGTTGGGGGCAGTGACCAAAAAAACCGAGTTCGGGCGCGACCCCCCGCAGGCCACTTATACCCCAGAGACCTGCGAGCTGCTCCGAGGTCAGTGCACGGAAGGACACGGTGGTAGCGGTTGCTCCCTGCAAGCCAGTCCCTGTGGTTTAGCGAGATTGGCATTGTTAGCTGCAGTCTGTGGGTTCCTCTTAAGCACAACAGCAGGAAACACGGCCAGGTCCTGTGCAGCCCTGACAATGACTCCATTGTCTGAGCCCACGGTTGCAGCCTTCTCATCTCCCCGAAGGCCTTCCTCTTTTTCCATGCACCATGTCCTCCTCCATGGCTAGTCGCTCCTGACAAGTCCAAAGCCCGTGAGATGCAGTCTCGCCTTCCTTGCCCCCGAGATTTGTTTCTTCTTCAGCCCACAGTACTTTTCATCGTCTTCGTCAGCGCCAGCCTTCAGATGCATTGATTCTTCAGTCTTCCCAATCCGATGTCCAATTTTCACAGGCACGTGAGGTATTTGAGAGTACCCAGGCTTAGGTCACCTTCGTCCCCAGAGTCACATCCATGGGCTTAGCAATAGGGTGGTTCCTTTCACAGATGTCTGCCCTACTGTTTGCTGTGCTGAAAGTCAATGGGCTAAGAGGGCTAGGGTCCCTAATTCCTGGGTGTCCTTTAAATCACCCTTCCAACTTCCCCAGGGAACACTGCCGCCGCCGCCACCACAGCAGAGCCACTGGTACTGCCCTCACAGTACCAAACAGTTCCCTCCTCACCGGGCTCATTGGATTTGCACCCCACTCTCCCTGGAGACTCCGGGCTCCATGGGGGGCCTGTGCCTGTGTGGGCTGGCCACAGCAGCCCTAGCCCATGCTTCATGAATGCTTGCTCATTCATTCCCTCAAAAAAACGTTTTTTAAGCACCTACTATGTGCTTTCGGAAACCCTGGATGGTACCAACAGTCAAGTACTTGACTAATTGAGAGGTTGGCAGTTCAAACCCACCTAGAGGTGCCTGAGAAGAGAGCTGGTGATCTGCTTTCTTTTTGTTGTTGCTTTTGTACACTTTCTCTCTGTTTTTTTAAAGAGAACGTTGGTTAAGACTTAACCAGGGCAAGGACCAACGGAGACGTATCATCCCGATGAGGGTGACCATGAGCCCAAGGTCACAATGGGGACACGGGTTTTAAAAAGACATGGGCCAGTGAAGAATGCCACCAAAACATGTTTGGCATCAGATCAAAGTTACCAGTGGAACTCCCGAAGTAAGATTGGTGGCCATGATTGGGACGGGTGTATGGCCTTAGAAGAGCTTACAATATTGGTTCAGAGGCCTTCTGACCAAGGCAGTGAGGGATTGACTCATGACTATGGGACCACCACCCCACCCCCACCCACCCCCGACTTCTGGGTGATCTGCTCTCAAAAGCCCACAGATTTGAAAAATCCCTGCAGCACAGCTCTCCTCTGCCAATGTGTGGGGTCACCATGTGTCAGAAACAACTTGATGGCAACAGGTTTGTTTTTTCGTTACAATGTGCTTTGGATACTGTTCCAGGTGCTGGGATACAGCAGCTAACAAAATGGGGAATGGGGGAAAGTGGTCATAGTGCTTACAGTCATGGCATGGATACGCCATCTGTTAAGAGGGCAACAACAAGGACCCAAACAAGTTCGACACTGAGAATGCAATGGTGACCTGGCTTCCTCCTGGAGGGGGGTCCGGGGGCGTTTGGACGCAGAGTGGTGGGGATACGGTTTCCATTGAAATGAGGTGGAATAACAGCGCCTGCCTGCAGCCCGCTTGGTCTCACAGAGGGGTTCTCTTACAGAGATGATGAAGGAATCCAAACTGACCAGCTTCCAGCAGCGTCACATCCTGTACACCATGAAAAGTAAGAGGTGGGCAGCATGGGGCTCTTCCTGGCCCAAGGGCTTCTGGGCCACACTGTAGATGCTCTTCAACACGAAGGAGTGAGAGACTTTAAAAAAGATAAAGACACACACACACCCCTCTAAGAAAAGTATGGTGTCTGTGGTGTGTGCTGCCAGGGAACTGACCCGATGAGGCCTCTGCCAGCTTGGGCACGATGACGATGCTCCTGCAGGCTTAGCTCTAGCCAAGCTTCTGGAGAGGCCACAGCCCATGAAGACTTTCTGCCCAGCTGAGTAGTGTCAGCACACACCAAGCCCAAACGCGTGGCTGTCAGGTCGATTCAGACTCCTAGTGACCCCATGAGGCAGGTAGAACAGCCCTCTCGGCTTGCTGTTGGGTACCGTTGAGCGGGTCCAACTTACGTACAACAGACAAGAAACTCTGCCCAGTCCCGCGGCACCGTCCTCCCCATCGTTAAGTTTGAGCCCAGGGTTGCAGTCCTTCTCCAGGAGAGTTTTTCTCTCTCTCTGGCCTTCTACCTTGCCAAGCAGGATATCCGTTTCCAGGGACTAGACGCCCCTGGTGACATGTCCAAAATACACGAGATGTCATCTCGCCGCCCTCGCTTCTCAGGAGCGTCTGGCTGCACGTGCTCCGAGGCAGATGTGTGCAGTCCATGTGCTTTTCGAGATCCACCACCTGCTCCGGAACTCAATGGTTCAACTCTCCTCGGGTCTTCCTTATTCAGTATCCAACTCTCATCCGCATATGCCGTGAATAGAAGAGAGCATGGCTTGGGTCAGGTGCACATCAAAGGCATCCTCGCTCTTCAACCCCCTAGTTCTTTCTCCCAGAGTAGCTGATGGGTTTGAATCGCTGACCTTGTGACCAGCAGCTGAATGCTGACCCATAGTGGTAGTAGGGCCTGCCCTGTACTGGCTTGGGCAGGGAGACTCTGTCAGGCCAGGTCAGGGGTCAGATCTCCTTTTCCCCAGTGATGAAGGCAACACGGGCACCTAGTGCCTGGTGCCATCGCCTATGTGAACCATGTGACTCAGAAGTCTACTAATAGGGTGTTGATGAATCAAAATCTCTCTGAATCTCCCAGATGCAGCAATCTCTGAGATGGTGGTCTTAAGGACTGACATACCCATGCTATTATTATATTAGCAAGTGACTTCGAAGGAGACCATGACTCCTTCTCTGCTAGTTACCTGAATACTGCTGACTGTGGAAAACACCTGAGATGGGACCTTATAGAACACAGTGCAATGAATGTTTGTTGAATAAATAGATGAAGTCCTCAACAAAAAAATAGGGTGCCATCCATTTCAGTTCACAGATGCCTGGAATATTCTATTGATCTTTACACATGCATTTTTGCGAACTTCCCATTTCCCTAGATTCATCCTGCATGCATCCCATGCTTCAATTATTCCTGGATGTTTGCAGCTGCTCTCCTGTTGAGTCCTGCCCAGCAGCAAATGAAGGTCCCAAGAGCTCTGTCCTGGCCACACCGCTGGTGGGGGGCCACGCCGTGTGTCCTGTTGTGCAGAGGGTCGCGATGGGTCAGAACCCAACTGAATGGCGCCTGAACAGCATCTTCCACATGATTGAACTTGACACGCTCGCCCAGGCTCATTCTGAGGGCCTTTCCAACCTGAGGGACTCATTTCCAGAACCATTTATCACACAGTATTCCCTTGCGATCCCTGAGATTGTCCGTGGCCAATCCTTCAGAAGTAGTTCCTAGCCTATTCTTAGTCTGGAAGCGCCGCCGAAACCTGCTAGCATTTGAATACTGGTTACCTGGGTTCCAGCATCACAGTAACACACAAACCCCCAAGGCGTGGCAAACTGACAGGTGAGTGGGGCCAGCTATGCACAGGTGGGGAGACCGAGGTCTGGATTCCCAATTCTGTTCCTTTGGACTACATGTCTGCCCTTGTGCTAGTACCGGCTGTCTTGACTACCATGGTTGTAGAGTGGAGTCTGATATCAAAGCATACAAGGCTTCCTACATTGTTCTTCAATAATGCTTTGCCTCTTTCCTGTCCACACCAATTTGGGTATTCATTTCCCCAGCGCATCAAAAGCCGCCGGTAGAATTAGGGTCAGGAGTGGAGTGACTTTGTTCACATTGGGTCTTCCTACCTGTGACACGTATGTGGTCTGTTTATGGAGGTCTTCCTCATTCCTGGTACTAGCGGTGTGCTTGTAGTTTTCCTCGTGCAGATCTTTTACCTCCTGATGAGCTTCACTCCTACGTATTTTATCTCAGGGCAGCTACTGTAAATGGTCTTGTTTCGCCGATTTCCGTTTCAAAGTTTTCTCTGGTGTGCATTAGAGTCCCATGGATTTTTTTTATGTTGAACTTGAATCCTATTACTTTGCTTAAACTATTCATTTCTGTTGCTTTCTTGTGGAATCTTTGGATTTTCTCTATGTAGGATCCTATCACCTGCAAGTATCAAGGTTCCTTTCTTCCTCGCCAGTTTGAAGGCCCTTTATTTCATTTTCTTGTTTGATTGCTCTAACTAGGGCTTCCAGTACAGTGTTGAGTGAGTGGCAAGAAAGAGCATCGTTGTCGTCTGCCCAAAGGGGGATGCTTTGTCTCGCTCCATCTGTCACACCGACTGCTGGCTTTATGTTGAGACGTGTTTCTTCTGTGAGGACTTTATCAGGAACGGGTGTTCTACCCACTCCCGTTGAGTCGATTCTGGCTCACAACGACCCTATAGGACACAGAACTGTTCCACTGGCTTTCCGAGGCTGTCGGCCTTCACGGGCCTGCCTCATCTTTCTCCTGCTGGGTTCAAACCGAAACGATGGCGTGGTTCTTTTGGTGTAGGTCTTTGTGGACCACAGTGATTTTCTAGCCCTGCCTCTGGGGCTAACCCGTCCATTCTTCAGCCTCGCCTTCAGTGCAGAGGCACCAACGCTGCCCTCTACACCTGCTTCACTTGTTTTCCGGGATCTTTTTGTAAGGAGCATTTTAGGAAGCTTCGGACTACGGTCGCTCTTCTTTGGAGCAGCAGGGGGTTCAAAGCATCACCCTTTCAGTTCGCAGCCCAGTGCTCACCGGCTGCACCACCAGGGCAACACACACACACACACACACACACACACACACACACACACACACGACATCCACACTAACCCCTGTGACCAGCCCAGGAGAGGGCAGGCCTGGCACGTAGTGAGCGCTGGAGAGCTACAAGGACCTTCAGAAAGCTCCCAGGACGGTCCATCTTCCCACCACTTTTCTGACGCTCCCTTGTATCTGCTGGTGGAGCCCGGTGGCATGGTGGTTCCACATCTGGGCAGCCAGCAGCGGGAACCCCCCAGGGTGAGCATAGGCTTCCCAGGGGCTCATGACCACTCAGGCACCCACAAGGCGACCCTGTCCTAGTGGGCTGCTGCTGCCCAGTGGAATCAACCCGATGGCAGTGAATGCCACTGTGTCTGCGGAAAGGCAGGCAGAAGCCAGAGGCAAGCAGCAGATTGGGTTCTGAGCCGGGCTTTCAAGGAAGGGGAGCTGACCAGATAGGAGGAGTCGTGCCTGGATGGCCTAGGGGAGGCGTAGCAGGGACTTCGGCCATGGGGAGCAGAAGGGGGAGGGACAGGTATGTGTTAACACCCAAATGGTGTTCATCCATCCCACCCTGGCAGCACACAGGTGTCAGGAACCCAGCCTGAAATGAGAACACCAGCGTGACAGTTCGGTGAATACAGATGTTTATTGCAGCATTGTTTGTAGTAAAAAAACAAAAACAGAACCCTGGAAACCACCTGAATTTCTGCAACCAGGAGCCTAGTGGAATAAATAATGATGGAGTCTAAGGACTAATAACCAGCTATAAAAAATAAGTTATATATAAATGAGCCGATCTGGAAAGAAGTCCATGATAAATTAAGTCTCAATAGAAAGCCTACTATTGAAAATAACACAGTATGATCCAGTGTTTGACACCCAGAGCTCTTTGGATGTGTCTGTCTGTGAGAGCACTTAAAAGTAATTGTCCCCACCCCCCACTGCCCCTCAGAGAGCAGGGGAGCCGGGAGCCTCCTCAGTGCTGTGCGGCCCAAGGCTGGTGTCGTGGTGTTGATAATGAAAACAGAAAAGCCAGGCGGGTCTCGCACCAGACACTGCCCCCACTCCCCTAGGAGGAAGCACGCTGCCCCTGCAGTGCAGCCCGACGTGCAGCCACAGCGTGTCCCCACCCAAGCAGCCGGCCACCCCCGTCATCTACCTGCCTCCTATCCTGGCTGCCCGGCCCCACCTCCGGCCTGCCAACGTGTGCCAAGCCAACGGGGCCTATGCCCGGGAGCAGTTCAAGCCTCAGGCCATCAGTGAGTGAGGGGTGGCACTGGCCTCCCACCTTCCTCCTGGGATCTCGGGTCAGTTCCAGGCCGTAGCTTGTAGGGGTCCAGGATCAGGCGAGACCCGTTGAGTGGTCGTGAGCCCCTTCCCCTTTCCCAGACCCACCCGCTCGGCCGCCTGGCCTCACAGCCCCTCATCCAGGGCTCCTCTGCACACCCACCCATTGCAGAGCCAGCCCACCCTTATCCCCGTAGGCCCCTACACAAGCTCCTCCGCACCCACCCCACCCCCACCAGCTATCACCAAAGCCCCGGCTGCTTTCAGCCTGCTCTATACCCAAGCCAGGAGGGGGGCTGGCCCAATAAGCCAGGGCAGAAGCCCCACCCAGGCATCCTTGGGCCAGCCTGCCCAGTGGGCCCACAGGCCAGGTGTGGGCCCCTTCGCTCGTCCCGAGGCCACCTCTGGGCCCTGCAGGAGACGGGGAGAAGGAGAAGCGAAGGCTGCAAAGCATCCTTGCCACCGGGAAGGAGCCGAAGGAGCCAAAGGAGCGCAGAAGACAGGCCCCCGCTGGGCGCCAGGTGGAGCCGGCCCCCGAGGTGGACCGGTTTGAGGAGCGTAAGCCACTCTGGGCCTGGGCTCTAACGGCGGGGAGTCCCTGAGGGCCACCGAGGGAGAAAGAAACTCCACTCGGCCACAGAGCACCCGCCCCCC